ACATTTCCATGTAGATATAATACTTCAGGTTAGTTCTTATTGCACTCCTGGCTAAGAGAATCTTTAAAACCATGAGCTTTTCAAATTGGATGCTATTAGGATTTAAGACTGTCAGAAGCCTAGATTATAATAGCATTGGCTATAGTGGGTGACTGATATATATTTATCAAATGATTGAATGGTTCTAAGTATGGCTCATTGTTATTTATTATTATTCTATAGCAAGAATAAGAAAGAACTTTGTTAATTTTATAATGTCATTAACACAGCAGTGGAATTTATAGATTCACAATTTTACTCGAATATTATGTATATGATCAGTAACTGCAGCCCTTCTGAATTGTTCTGAAATTCTTGGAATAAACAAAGGCCTGTGTTGACAGCAAAAAATGAAAGTCTGCTATTCCCTTTGTTAGTATATCAGCAATATCAATAAATTATTAAAAATATTAGCAAAGAATGAATGGAAATTGTTATTGAAATCCTTTTTGCTTTCTCCGTTTTATAGAAATGTCATAGTTGATCTTTTCTCTAAGCCACTGGGTCTTAAAAACTGTAGATGGCAATCCAACCACAAAAATGATAGGGCTTGCTAAATTTAGTAGTGGATTTTGCTTTTCCTAGCGGCACAAAATTATGTTGCTCTAGGATAGCAGCATATCAGGAGAAAGAATCATAAAAAAAAAAGCAAATTTCAAAGAAATAGAAAACAAGATAATTTTTTTGCAGCCTTTTCTTTATAAGTTCCACTACATGTAAGTTTACAAAATGCAATTTTGGGTTCATGAGTTAATCAAGAAATACTGTGAAGGCATTTCAAACTATGGATAGTAGAAAATCTCTGTTACCATGGAAACAAGATACTATACATGAGAACAGGCCACATCATATAGAAGATTTAATTACAATGAAATGATAAATGAATAAAGGCAATTTTTTAGCCTATTTGTAGCTAAGGTCCATTAGAAGTCCAGTTTCCAAGGAAACCCATTTTTTAAAAAAGTAATAAAATAAGATAAACTGCATTAGAGAAAGATTTTGAAAAGGTAACAGCAGCCCCACCAATTAAAAATATTTCTAATTTTGAAAGAATCACACTGGAATGAACTTAGATGTCTTTTGAGAATCGTGAGCTATCCATAATAACAATAACATATGCAATTTCTACACAGAATAATAAAATATTTGTTTGAAAAGTGTTCAAGAATCTATTTTTTAGAATACAATTGGAATGGCATATTTAGACATGTTTTTATTTTGAAGTGAGTTTTGCTATGATTTAACAGATCAAAGCATGGCCAGAAAACACAGCATGGTGGTGTCAGTGGATCATTTTGATTCCAAATGTTGTGTCCTATTACCAAATTTGCTGCTGATTTATGCATGTATGTTTGGGCTGAGCCAACAAGAAACAGACCATCTGGAGGGCCCTTTTGATGTAAGAATGTGAGTACAAAATATTCACTATCCAATGTAGTCTCACCAAGGAGTGGATTTAAGTCTAGGATACCCAGAACATCCTTAGAAGCACAGTATGTTTCAGCAGAAAGTGTATTAGTGGGGACATTAGCGTGCTGGTGAGCATTTATTCTATGCATTGGTATTTTAAAGGAGCAGAAAATTGCCTCCATCTCTCTCCCATGGTGGAATAAACATAAAGCTGGAGCAGGTTGAGGGATGAGAGACACAAACCTGGTGGGCTAATCTGCAGGGCTGTCATGTCAATGAGCAGTTGTTTGACCAGTGCAGTAAGTTTCTGTATATTCTATGCTGTCATAATGACTTTAAACATTCACAACAGGAGTGTCTGTTGATTTGAACTCTTAAAACATACAGTTTGAAGGCATAGGCTTTCGAGTGAGACCAATATGGATTTGAACCCAAGCCCTACTATTTACTAGCTGCACGACCTTGGAAAATTTATTCAAACTCTTTTATTGCAGGTTCTTCATAAGGAATACTATCTACTGCTAGCTTGTATTAGTGTCAATATACATACAGCAGGTTTTCTCAACCTTGGCACTATTGATATTTAGACCAGATAATTCTTTGTTGTGAAGGCTGCCCTGTGCATTGTAGGATGTTTAGCAGTTTCCCTGGCTTCTACCCATCAGATGCCAGTAGCAACTCCCTCCACCCCTGGCCACCAGTCGTGACAACCAATAACTGTCTCCAGACATGCTAATGTCTTCTGGGAATTGAGACGCACTGATGTGAAGTGAGATGCGAAAAGCAGATGATAAATAAATGGTGGTTAGACATTATACGTTTTTGTGAAGATGTATATATATCGCATAGTGGTTAAATCCAGGCTTAGCCATTTAATTTCTCTGATGACCCATGCCTTCCATGCCTTTTATCAGTTCTAAAAATTTCTCAGCCAACATCTTTTCAAATATTTACTGTCTACTACACTCCCAATTTTCTCCTTCCAGTATGCCAATTACATGCATATTAGAACTTCTTTTTCTATCTTCCATGACCCTTAACCTCTCATCTCTTTTTCTCTATATCCCCCTATAATATGTTCTGGATGATTCCTGCAGAGTTATTTTTCATTTAGGGATTCTATTTTAAGGGAAATCTTATGTTAATCTTCACTGCTGAGTTTTTTAAAAAAATTTAATGATTATAAATTTTATTTAAAACTTTTAATTTGTTTTCTGCATCTACCTTCTATATTACTTTCTTTTCTTAATGGTTTTGTTTCTTTCCCCCCTCATTGGACATTATAAAATAACAATTATATTGTTTTAAAGTCTCTTTCAGATTTCTCTGATATTGATGACCCCTTAGCCTCTGCTGACTACCCATGATGATGTATTTTCTTATGTTCTTTATAATTTTCATCAGCTCACTTTTGATGGAACTATTTATTGTTGAGGTTTCATATTTTCTTTCATTTATAGAGCTGACCCTATTAATAATTTCATGGTTATCTCTGATGTAGACCTATTTGTTCACTCATTCTGGGCATGTTTTTATGTTACATTTTTAATGTCAGTTTTTACATCTCTATACAAGTCATGAAAGATTTTGAATATCACACACTTACAAGATTTAGGCTGGAGAATATGATTTTTTGAAGTAGATTTTTTCACACAAGGCTCAAGGTAGATAGCTCATTTTTGTGTTACATCAATAGTAGCTGGAAATTTGTCAAAGGGATTTTCCTATCTGACTTCTAACTGGAGACCCTAATTTTGGTTTCTTGTTTGAGTATTACTAACTTAGACATAGTCTTAGTATATTTTGTGTTTTTACAGCAGAATACCAAAGACTGGGTAATTTATAATAAAGAAAAATTTATTGGACTCATGGTTCTGGAGGCTGGGAAGTCCAAGAGCATGGTGCCAGCATCTGGCAAGGACCTTCGTGCTCTGTCACTCATGGTAAAATGTGGAAGGGCAAGAGAGAGTAAGGGCAAGAGAGAGCAAGGGCAAGAGAACAACAAAGGACTAAACTTGCTTTTATAATAAACCCTCTCATGATAACTAACCTATTGCTGTGATAATGTCATTAATCTATTTATGAGGGCAGAGCCCTCATGACCTGATCTCCATTTATTAGGCTCTACCTCTCAACATTGTTGCATTGGGGATTAAGTTTCCAACACATGAACTTTGGGGGACTTAATTCAAATCATAGCAGACACTCACAGTTTCATTATACCCATCTGATTTCAATATCCTGTTACAACTACGCATTCCCTTTTCATTTCTGGGACCCACAGAATTATATTTTTTGCTTTCAATCTTTACTATTCATTGTAAATAAAAATCTTTAGTTTTGACCTTTAGCCAAAGGATACAAAATTTTAGTAAGACAGGAGGAACAGGTTCAAGAGATCTATTATACATTATGGTAACTATCATTAATAACTTTAAAATACTTGAAATCACTTGAAAATATTGGTCACACTTGAAATTGCCAAGATGTCATCTACTTGCGATGAGAACACTTAAAATAGTACTCTTTAATACAAACTAGTAGTAGATATGAAGAACCTTCAGTAAAAGAATTTGAATAAATTTTTCAAGGTCATGTAGCTAGTAAATAGTAGAGATGGGATTAAAATCCATATTAGTATCACTCCAAAGCCTATGGTCTTCAAGCTATATTTTTTTAAAGAGTACTTTTTTAAGTGTTCTAACCACAAGAAGTTAAGTGTGAGATAATACATATGCAAATAGCTTGATTTAGCCATTCCATAGTATATATATGTCAAAACATTATGCTATATACCACAAATATATATAATTTTGTCAAATGAATAAATAAATATAAAAATAACAACACTTCCCCCCAAATCTAGCATTTCTATGTTTTTGTAGTGGTATATGTATTGATTTTCTATGTCAGCTCAGTTTACCATCTTGACTAGAAGTTCCCATTTAATTATACTAAACTTCAGTTTTCTTATCTGTAACACTAAGATAAAGATGGCATCTACATTTTAGGGTTGCTGTGAGGATTAAATAAGATAATGAGTGTAAAACATTTATTTACTGAACACATAGTAATTGCTCAGTGCACACTACTATCATGTAAATCAGCTCCTGTACTTCCTGCCAAATTTCAGATACTCAATAATTTATCACTAGAATCTATAATTATGGTTATTAGTATGGATCCTCATCTCAGATCCATTCATGATTGGGAACCATATCAAGAATTGAAAAATCCCAGCAAATAGTGCCAGAACTATTCAAATATTTCTACAATCTGTATTTTTGTCATTTTGAGGATCACTGACATAAATGCTTTGAGTAGGATAGTGATTCTCAATTGGGGATGACTTTGCCTCCAAAGGGACATTTGAAAGTGTCTGGTGACATTTTGACAGTCACAACTTGTGGAGCGGGAAGCTATGGGCATCTAGTGGGTAGAAGTTAGAGGTGCTGTAATGCATGGGGCAGCCTCTCACAATGAAGAATTTTACCAAAATTTCAATGGTGCTAAGGTTGAGAAACCATGAACTAGGTTATTAAACCTCTTCATGGTTCAAATTCAATTTATTTTAAAACTATTTGTCACAGAAACAGTATTATGACTTGTACTCTTCACTAAATTAATAATAGGATATTGATTATAAGTTGATGACCAAGGATGTCACTCTGATTCAGGGAGAATCGATCACATAACGCAGGATTTCTTTGGCAGTACAGGGTGTTGAGCAAGTACCAAATTTACATATCTATGTGGTAAAGAATAAAAAAGAAAATATTAACAAAAACAACACAACAACAATATCAATAATGCAATGACAACTCACACACAGTCACAGTCACTGTCACATACACATAAACGCATAGTCACACACACAAAAGCCAATGAAGTTGGGTGGAAGCTTTCAGAGAGGCCTGAAGTAGATGGCATCTAACATTTATACCACTAAAATTTCTGGATTTGTTATGAATATAAAATTGAGCATCTCCAGGAATCCATATCTCTTCTCTAACTCTTTGAAGCCTCTCTTTTCAAAGTCTTTTTTACTGAATTTTAATTTTCTATTTCTGTGTCTGTTTCATTTTATAGACATTTTTGAGAGCAGGTCTCTTGTCTTATTTATTTATGGAACTTTGATACATAGAAGACATTCAGTAAATAAATGTTTGAATTGAAGATTGAATAGGTGAATGACTACTACTTGAAGAAGTTTATCAATATTTATGGTTATATTTAAGGACATACACCCCAACTAAGCTAGGCATCAGAGAATGCAGTGAGTAGCTACAAAGCAAAAGAGAAAAACGTAAGGACAAATGGAAGCCCAGCCTCAAACAATATGACAGAGTTGTGCAGGGCTGGAAAACAATGTCAGCGAACTGAAAAATGTGACATACAGCAATCCAAAATGAAATTTGAACAAAGACTGAAGTAATTCCTGTTGTCTCAGAATCAGACAAACATTACTAGTCTCTGCAAATAGCAATGGCAGCCTCAAAGCCAAGAACACACTTGGCTTATGTATGTGCTGGTGGTGTCTTAGCTTTATGATTATGTGAGCCAAAAATCCAGGCTTTTCTCAGGCAGAGATTAGCAACAGCATCCAGCATATAGTTTCTATAAAATGGATATATTCAAATAACAGTATCAAATCTCGAACGAACAAATCATCTATTGCCACTACTTGTATGCTCAATTTAGGAAAAGCTGTAATGCCAACCTAGATCTAGAGAAATATACATTGTAGGGGAAACATTTTTTATCTGTTTTCAACCCTTTTCAATGATTTCTAAAATTCTGACATTTTTGTCTCTTTAATGACAACCATTTAATATAGTTTCACTTCAGATGCTGCCATCTTAAGTGAAATATATTTTCAGTTAAGATACTGCCATTGAGAAATCTTTTCTTCACTTTATAGAGGAGGAAACTGAGCCTTGGAAAGATGAACCAACTTACCCAGGACTTCACAACTGAAAGTAACTGAACAGAGATTCGAGGTCAGGTCTTTCTGGCTTTTTCTTGACATTGCATCCTCATGGCAGGTATATATCAAATTTTCAGTTGTTTGACAAACTTTCCCATATGAAGACATTGTATTTTCTATTTTTAGTTATTCACTGTAAAACATGTTTGAATACAAAAGTTTCCATTTTAAGTTAGAATAATACAGAAATTTCTTCATGATATACAGAACACTGCACTATGTACTACAATAGTGACTTTCCTAAGAAATAATTTTATTCCTTTCATGAATGCCTAGACAAATATAAAGTCACTTCATTTGATAATCAACCTAAAATTCCTCTTTACATTTTTTGTCTAATTTAAAAATTTCAAGTAAAATGTGGGTATATTCCTGTAAAAGATTTGAATGACATAGAAAAAGCAAAGCCCTCCCCCAGTTTTAGTCCCGCCCAGAGTCACCCTGCTTGTGATGCTGCAGCTGGGCCCAGGACTCTGCCAACACCTCTTCCCAGCCTGCTGTACCACGTGGCTTCCTGGAAGGTTTTACAGCAGGGGTAGGGGGAGGGGAGAAGGGACTTCCCAGTTTTTTCCATTCTTGTCAGTATTAGTCTCACCGGTGGCAACGTGCCTGGGGTCTCCAGGCTCTTTTGGCGACCCCAGGACCATCCTCAGGGCGTCCTCAGAAGCACAGCTGAAGCAGACGGGGCTCCTCCCCAAGGCTGCTCACACCCCTCCTTCGCGTGTCTAGCTCTTTGCTCTCGGATGTCGAGTGTGACTCCACAAGGTCAGCATCGGTAGCAGCTCACGCCATGAAAAATTACAGAGATTAAAATTACTCTTTGAATGTATCAATAATTTGAAATATAAAAAATAAAACCCAAATAAATAAGTTTGTATGCAAAGAAACTCCAGTTTTTGTAAAATCTGGGGTATTTAAAAAATTAAATCCCAAGTAGAATAAAGGAATGGAGAAAAAAGCGAGCGAGTACAAAGGGCTAGACTGTGCTAACCCTGCTTCTTGGCTTTTTGCTTTCCCGGGCCTCGGATGGTAGCTCTTTCCTGCAGCCACTACCTCTGGTTTCCCTCAGTGCTTCTTCTGTATTCTCTTCTCCTTCTAATTCTTGTGTTCAATCTCCTCTGTTTGCGGTGTGGTAAACTATTTTCCTATTTTCCTGACTGAACTCCGACAAACAGACCACCGGGATCAGGTTGGGCTGTACATATTTTTCTTTCTATCTTATTCACAATTTAATATATATATATTTTTATATCAATGATTATTTATATATACAAAGAAATTGAAAGGCGATACTATAAAAAATAAGAGTAGCAAGTACAAACCTAGCGGCGAAGGAGAGGACATGGCCGCCACCGCCGCTAGAGGCAGGCTTCCGGAAGAAGAAAGGCTGAGAAGCGTTTCCGGGTCAGTCTGGCTTCAGCTTCCCTGCGCTTACAGGCGCTCCTGGGGAGTCAGTGGGCAAGACTGTGAGTTTTGGTCTCGGGGGAGGCCAGCGTGTCACATGGGTTGTCAGCAGGGTGGTATCCGTCCAGGTACTGATCATTTAGTAGGAATATGGTCAGGGGTGGGGGCTGCTCTGCATTTTCTGATGCCAAGTTCCAGGTCTCAGAAGGACGCCCAAAGCAGGACCTCTTTGAGGCTGCCATCAATGTCCTCAGCTGGCCCAGGCAGAAGGGAATGGAGAAGAGGGCAGGAGCTTCACCAGCACCTGGCCCATCAAATCAGCACAGCACTTGGCAAGTTAAACTTTTGCATACAGTCCTGACACCTGGCCCTGGTGCTCTCCAATGCAGCTGCCTCCCTGGAGCCTTCATTCACCATTCTCCTGGGAGTCCTGTGCTTCCCTCTTCTGTTGAGCTTTCTGTTTCCCATGTCCCATACTTCCTTTTTCTTGGGTTATCCCTCTGTTTGGTAGGACATCCTTTAGTAGCTTCCTGAGAAATGGTGCATGGGAAGTAAATAGTTTTTACATCGTGGATATCCAGAAATAATATAATTCTACTCTCACATTTGATTGAGAGTTTGCCTGGCTATAGAACTGTAGAGTGGAAATAATTTTCCTTCAAAAGTTTGCAGACATTTCCCTACTGTCTTTTCGTTTCCCATATTACTGTGAGCGGTCTGAAGCCATTCTGATTTCTATCCTTTGCACAAAGTTCCTTTTTTCCTCTCAGGAATGTTGTAGGATCTATCTTCTCTTTTCCTCCCATGTTCTGAAATTTCATATATGCCCCAGTGTGAGTCTTTGTGTATATTATGGGCCCTTTTAGTTTGGAGACTCATGTCTTTAGTTCTGAGAAATATTCTTGAATTATTTATTCAATGATTTCCTCTTCTCCATTTTTTATCCAGTTTCCTTTTCTGGAACTCGTATTACAGTATACTTATTCTTTAATTTCTTAATATTTTATGTTCTATTTTCTACTTTTTTTTTTTTACTTCTGTGAGATTTTTTCTGTCTTCTAAGCCATTGTTCTTTTTCTATCTCTGTTCTTGGCTATTTCTGAAGAAAGCATTAAATGTACAATTTTTGGTGCCTGCATAGCATTCTCAACTTGCTTTTTGATTCTAGAAAGTTGAGGGCTTTGAGGGCTTTATACATTACAAACAGACTCACTCTTAGTTTAGGGTATGGCACTTTTGCCAATTCAGCTCTCATAAACATGCAGTTGGACTTTTTGGTACGAGAGTCCATTTTACTCTGCATGACAAAAATGACACCCACAATTATTTTGAAGACCTGCCTGTCCCTCTAGACTCAATTATAGGTATGAGTGGGACCATACCCTTAAGTTGCATTGTCTTTGGATTTTGAACGTTGTTTTTAAAAACTCTAAAGCCATTGTGATTCCAGATTCTTTGCATATGAGGTTTCCTCTTTCTTTCTCTAGCAGTTTGTGAAATATCTTCTCTGTCTCCCATGTTCTACAGATTTGCATTTCTAACTCTTTGCTGAGAATAAGGATCAAAACGGACTTTTCTGTGGGACTTGTCTGGCTGTTCTACAGGCAGATAAAATACCACGTGGCAAAAATGCGGCTTCTTCTTCCCTTCTTGCCCCTATGCTGCTCCCCTGCCTGCATTCCTGCTGCCTTTCATTTGCACTGCGTGTCCAGGGCCAATGCACAGGTCCCACTCTTGCCTCCTCCATATTCCTCCCAATTGCACATACTCTCATCACCACAGTCTGACGATTTTTATCTATGTCTACAAGTTTGTTGAATTTTCATCTTTTCTTTGTTTATACTACTACAAGCTGCAAACACAGTGGCCATCTATTTATCGAAACATAGCTCTGACCTTGGCCTCTGCTTACAACCCTTCAGATGTCCGACTGCTTACAGAGGGAAGTAGGAGCTTCTCAACAAGACATTTGGAGCCTTCTGTGAATTGATTCCTACCTACCTGTCTCAGTCTACTTAGGCTATAACAAAATGCCGTAGACTGGGTGGCTTACATGACAAGCATTTATTTCTCACCATTTCAGAGGCTGGAAGTCTGCGATCAGGGTGCCGGCATGGTCAGATTCTGGTGAGAGGCTGCTCCTTGGCTTGTAGATGGCTGTCCCCTGCTGTGTCTTCACACATCAGAGAGAGAAAGCTCTGGTGTCTTTCCCTCTGTTTACAGGGGTACTAATCCCATCATGGGGGCTTCACCCTCATGACCTCATCCAAACCTAATTGCCTCCCAAAGGCCCACCTCATAGTACCAGTACATTAGGGGTTAGGGCTTCTATCTATGAATTTTGGAGGGACACACACATTCAGTGCACACATTCAGGTCATAAAGGTGGAGCCCCCATGATGGGATTAGTACCCCCGTAAAGAGAGGAAGAGACACCAGAGCTTTCTCTCTCTAATGTGTGAAGAGATAGCAGGGGAAAGCCATCTATAAGCTTTATCTCCTCCAACTTCATGCCTTATAATTAACCAACACTTAGGGAATGTGCAGCTGTGCATTTGTGCCAACCTACCTCATTCTATTTCATACTTCTGTATATTTGTTCATGTTTTTTCTTCTGCCTTGAATGCCTGTCCTACCTTCTGTCACATGGATGTTCATACACTATTTTTAGAACTTAGTTCAGGTGTTCTAATCTCTAGGAAGCCTATGTTTAACTTCCACACTGGATCAATTTTCCTTTTCATTTGATCCTTTAGTACCCTGAGTACACCTGCAGCTCAGCAAATACCCTATTATATTTCCACTCTTTGTGTGTGATGGTCTTCTCCTCTAAACATTAAGCTCTTCAAGTACAGAGATTATATCATTTGTGTTATAGTAATATATAATATATATGTACTATATATATTACATATAATATATATGATATAGTTATATCATTTGTGCCTAGTAACAAGCATAGTGTCTAGCCCATGGCAAACACTCAAAGAATATTGAGTGTTTGATTATTGGTTATTGGTTTGAATATTGAATATTGGTTTGAATATTGGTTATATTATAACCAAAGAATATTGGTTACCAAACTAACTAAATATATCATTTTACTCATGTTGTTAATCTATGTTAACTACTCCAAGTTTCCTGATTTTTTTTTTCCCCGGTATCTATGCCTGTAGTTTATTTTCATTTTTTGTGTAGAGATACTTCATGTCCACATTATAAATTCAAAACAGTTTTGAGATCAACAATTTTGTTTGTAGTTTCAACTTTACAGTTATTACATATCTGAATTTATGTACCAAGACTAATGGGGCCCATTTTAGACATTAGAAAATTGTACTTAAGCTTCAGCAGTAGGGCATTGCCTCAGTGGATTCTCAAAAGTTTCCTGCTGGTTCAGTGAGAAGAGCCTCAGATGTGGGAAGGTAGGTAGAGCATGGCGTCAAAGGGTAGTTGTGGATATCAAGGGTAAGGTGCGAAGCTTCTGGAGCGTGTGTATCATTTATACCCTATAGAGCTGGTGTTGGAAAAGTGAAGCATTGCAAATCAATATTTCTTAGAGTAGATCTCTGAAGAGATGACAGCAAGTGTGAGGCCATCTTCTGGCAAGAGTAAAAGGAAAGTGAATAATTTTATAGAGAAAGCATTGTGTGGGAAATGCTTTTTCAACAGTAAAGGGGTGTGCAGTTGCTTGCTGTGAAATCACTCTGATTGTTCTTAAGGCCAGTTTGAAAGTTAATTGCTTGTCTCAGCTCAATGAAAGTACTATGACTGTCATACTGCTCATGACACAAGACCAGCAAATTCCATATACCATTTATCATGGACTTCAGTAGCTATTGTTTCTGGCTAAAAGGTAACTTTTTCTCATATCCTTCTCCTCTTGTCCTTTTTTAAACAGACCCCACTATCTGGCCATAAAAGGCCTAGTCAAACTTAATTCTCCATTCTTCTGGTCAGAATAATTTTTCATGGTAGGATCCAAGCAGAGCCAATCAGAATCTTCCCTGGGGTATATATATGGGTTATAGAGAGAGACATTGTCTTTCCAATGGGTTTTTGATATACGGTGCCACAGACATTTAATGGGCTTTTCGAGTTGCCCACAGCCAACTTTCTTGGATGCATTGAAGAAATCTGTGGGTCATTTTGTGATAATATACAATTAGAATAATACATACAAAAAGTCAAGCTTGAGAGATAGGGCAGGTGAGAGAGAGAGAGAGCATAATATGTATTACCTGATCCAATTGTGTCTGAATCTAGCAACTTCTGAAGTCATCAGATACATGAACTAATTTATTCCTCCATTTACGTAGAGTATTTTTAGTTGTTTCCCATCACTTTAACCTGAGGGTGTACTCACAAACACACCACTCTTAACAGGGGTGTTTTGGTCACCAATCCCCATTACTTCATTCTTTTTTCTTGGGCCTCTGTTTCACTTCTTAGTTGTCTAATGATTTGGTGGCTAAATACAAAGGCACTGAAGCCAAACAAGCTGAGTCTGAATCTTGGCCCTTCTACTTATTAGCTGTTTAGTCTTGGGCAAGTTAGTTAACCTCTTTAAGCTTATTTCTGTGTCGGCAAAATGAAGGCATTAATTGTCCCCACTTTTGGGGGAGTTTTGTGAGAATTAAATGAGTTAATACATTAAAGTGCTTAGAATAGGGCCTGACACCTGGTACTTGCATAGGAGGTGTGTCAGCTATTTTAATATTGTGCTCTGATAACAAATCAAAATGTTTGTGTTTGCCTTTATTTTCTATTTAAAACTATTTTCTTTAAAGATATAATGACTTTACCTTTTTGGTTTGCATTGATTATAGCATCTGGCACGATCTTGTGTTCATGATGAGCATTTCCCTGTCTCCGTACCACATTGTTAATAGGGACCTGCCATTCCTAGACTCATTTCTCTCTTGCTTGCCTCGATCCATTTCTTGGTGCACTTAACT